TGGAAGGATGTTTTGATGAATATTGCTTGCACGTTATTTGGTAAAAAAAATTTATCCCCACTTTGGACTTTGGTTATATTTTTCGTTGGATTTTTTACGCTCCAAATTTTTACCTATCTAAGTTTCTTTATTGTTTCTTGGTTTTTGTTTGTTGGTGTTGGTGAGTTGTTTTTCTGTGAATTTTATTACACTATCACATTTTCTATTTATTTCTTCCAAATGACATGGTCATGATGGGTCTAATCTAACCATTTTGCGTATGTTGCTCTCTTCGTGTCAGATAATTATCTTATTTGCAATATATATAATTACACTGACCAAGGCTAAATTAATGGTCATTGTTAGAGGATCATTTCGTTGCATTTTGATTTTCAGGTTCTTATGAACTTGACGAACGACAACCCTGACGGCTGTCGGCAAATTGCCACCTGTGGGGGATTAGAAATATTGTCTTCTCTGCTTGCTGGTCATTTTTCGTCATTTAGAACTTGTTTGCCGCATTCTGATGATGCTAGGGACAGTATCTCACCATCTAAATCGAGTCCTAAGAGCAGTACGCCTCTCACTGACCGAGAGCTAGATTTCCTCGTTCTCTTTTGGGTTTGCTTGTGAATTTGGTGGAGAAAGATAGTCGGAACAGGTCAAATCATCCTCTATTTAGCTCTTTTATCCTGTCCATTCTATTTATTTTTTTTACTATGGGTCAGTTCATTTTTATTTTTGGGAAATTTCTTTTCGGTTGATGTCGTTTTTTATAATTAATTGAAGAAACATTTTTCTGATTGAAATTTATCGTATTCCAGATCTCGGCTTGCAGCGGCTACTGTTTCATTACCAAACCCAGAAGGTTCGGCCTCGAAAGATCAAAGTGATATTATTTCTCTACTGTGCTCAATCTTCTTGGCTAATCAAAGCAACACTGATGCCACCAGAGAGGAGACATATTTGTCTTGGGTGAGGAATTTTGTTTTATTTATTTTTTGTCCTCATACTTTGATCAAATCGTCAAATGCATGCAAAAGGAAAATTTGAAGCGTTATATATTGAACATCTATAAGATTTATATACAAGAATAATTAAAACCGCGCTTTGCA